GCAAAAACTGTGAGAAATAATTCCTATAAAGAATATCTAAAGCTCTGTCTCTCAAAGATTATGGCTGCTGTTGACAACAAATTCATTAAAACAAAACCCATTAAATCATTACCATGACCTGAAATATTAACAAACATAACGACTGTAAGTGCAAAAAAAAAAAAAAAGAGGTGAAAAGAACTGTTTGTGCAGCAGACATAATATGACTCTTTACATTGGATGCCTCTGTCAAAATCAACTTCTGTCATGGTGAAGAAAAAAAGAAATATGGCAGTAGCGAGATGTAGGATTAATGTTATTGTTACATTGATATCAAAAGCCCAAACGAAAAACTGAGAAGATATAAAAGGTGATTCAAATGCTTATTGTTTGTTGACTATGTCACGTTCAGTAAACCAGAAGTGTCATCATAAATAAAGTAACAGGGCCGTATATATTGTAAGCTATGTCTTAGATATATGGCCATCACTCTTTCACATACTGTTTGGTATTATTAAAGTGTTTATGGAATATATCATTAAGTGCAGTAGGGATCGTGATGAAACAAAATGACCACCAAAAACATCGCCCGTTTAAAACCACCTTTAAAATGTCTGAATATTAACAATGACTATTTCACAGTGTTGGCTGAGCAAAATTAAAGCTTATTGTACTTTAAAAGCCGCCTAAATCGCTATATACGTTCTTATGGAGTGAATCAAAATTTCACTATTTCAATGCATTTTCATCTAAGTAAGTGACTTTTCCAGACAAACGTACATAAAAAATGACAAACCTTATCGCTCTAATTCTTTCACAGAAATATTCCATTTGCGATCCCAATGATTCCGTTCTTGAACCAAAAAGGATACTAGTATATATATATATATATATAACGGAAGATGCGCTACTTTGAGCATATAATTAGATTTGAGGGTAGATTGGTAGAGATCCTGATGAGTAATAAAGTCAAAGCGGGTATACGCACGCCCCACGCTTGGTATTGCTGGCGCACAAACATATCTATATACTACTAAAACTCTGAGCTTGTCTGTTATTAAATACAGCAAAAACGGCGCACAAAACCGCCCCGTTTTTCGGATCACTTTTATGAAACTTTCTAGATGAATTTAGGTACACTAGATGGCGCCATATATAGGTTTATCTATCTATCTATTCGTTTTCCACCTGAAGAATCATAATAATGGCTGGAGACGGCTTGAATGGGTAATGAAGAAAAACTTTAATATAAGTTTAACATAACAGCAAATGTACAACGTTTCAACAAGGTTTTGTCATCATCAGGTCAAAACTACAAAAACTGAGTTATTTAAAATCTTAAAAAAAAATTAAGTAACTCAGTTTTTGTAGTTTTGACTTTCTTGTTTCAATACTTTCTGAGCATTAAAACTTTCTATATTAGGGGAGAGTGGAGTAATCACAAACACGTTTTGTTTTTGCTTGTAACTCAAAAAGTATAGACGGTGTTAACTTCGTATACCAGTTAGACTTTGTAGGTGAAAGACCCTTTGTATGATATATCTTGCATGTGCGGAAAATATTCCAGTAGCAAATTACGCCTCAAGAAAAAAATATGGTAGTGTTCGGAATTGCCCCATGATGTAGGGGAATGCCGACCATTCAGGAATTGTTGCCCATCTACCCATTTTGTTAAAACATAATCTACTTCAGGTATAATACTTATGATAAAAAGCTTAATTTTGAATAGAAAGAATAACAAGGTAAAAATAAAAGTCAAACTGGCTTAAATTTTGTGCATTTCAACTTTTGTAAATCTTTTTTTTTGCAACAGAGTTAGTTACAATTCAACATTTTTATAGATTCCACCTTACCCTTCGTTTTCTTGAAAAATCTGTCGACTTCTGATCTTCTAAACCCGATTGCTTATGACAAGCTTGTTGGTTCAGGTCGTCATAGAGAAAGCTGAGGGGGTCTGGAGAAGAACCCATACAACCAGTCTTTTCAGCGTTTCTTAATGCCTTGTCAAATGGATGTTGTATCTTATTACGATCTGCTAACTCAAATGCTAATGACCTCAGAGTATCATGTGTAATTCTGAAAAACATGTGACTCTTTGTAACAATGTAGTCATAGAGCTTTTTTTCCAATGACTCAGGCAAAATTGTATGCCTACCCATACGAACAGGTTTTCTTGATTTCACATTTTGTTCGCCATTACCCCTCACGATACTAGCGTTTTTTTCCCGACTGTTGTTTCAGTGGATACAGGTACTACTCTATAGTCCTAGCGTGCACTCTGTTTGGGTTACACAATTAGGCTTTCCTAATCACATGGTGACCTGACCCCATAATGACCTTAACATATAGATTGAAGGAGTAATGTGCAACAATTTTATGAACTTGTTTTACCGTGTTTGATATTTTTACAGCGGAAAACGGTCGAAATCTGGACTTCAAGTGCAAAGTTAGGTTTTGTAAGTAGTGGAAGTGGAATATAGAGATTAAACAGCGACACCTATTTCACATTACTAGATAACGCGGAGTTCGGCATTGCCCCGCGTTCGTGATTACCTCACTCTCTCCTACTATAGCTAGCAAGGTTACGTATATTTCTATCCCTACTTGTCAATATAATTTTTTTTCATTACTCTTGTATAGTGAAAAATATCCCTGCCCTTTTACTATTAATCCTAAATCATGGATATACTTAGGTCCACGTTAACAATACATGCCAGCCAACCCTTGATGACAGAATTGGCCTCCTGATCCCCAATGATCATTATTTTTCAGGTTTAATTTAAAACACATTAATCCACAAATTAAAGTATCATTTGAGAACTGACTTTTCATAATTATTGGTAAAATATAAGGAAACGCATTTAATTAAATGCACGTGGATACCGCGTTGCATTAAATTATCATAGTATTGAATTTAATTAATTTTTTTTTATATATATAAAAAAGCAAATATGTTTGAAAGATTTTTTATTAAACTATTGTTTCATTAGATTTACCTGGTATCATCAGGTGGCAAGCCATTCTTTGGTGTCTCCCGATGGGACAGCGGTAAGTTTACGTACTTACAACGCTAAAATCCGGAGTTCAATTCCCCTAGGTGTAACAGTAGATAGCCTAATGTGGTTTCGCTCTTAACCAAAAAACAAACCATTCTTTGGCTCAACCTATTTTGTTATATTTAAGTTTTCGGCTATATTCACAACCTTTAATTCAGATAAAAATAAGATCAGTAGTATTTGTCTTGCCTCAGCAACTTCTCGATCATCTCACTTGTATTAAAGTTTTACGACTGTTTGGTTATTATTATTATAACGACGTTAAAAAAGTTAAATCAAAACTTTGTTTTTCCTTAATTGGAATAAAGTAGCAAAAATGTAATCAACTATATTTATCATACATTTGGGCTTATTGTATTTTATTTGCTTATTGAATTTCGCGCGCGAAAAGCCACTCAAGGCTATATTTACTAGCCTTCGCAAATTTTGAAATTACAGACTAGAGGAAAGCAGGTAGTCAACACCACCCACCACCAACTATTGGGATACTCTTTACCAAAGAGTCGTAGTATTGACTGTCACATTATAGCATCTCCACGGCTGAAAGAGCGAGCATATTCAGTGAAGTGTTTCGATCCCGCTACCCGCAAATAGCGAGTCTAGCGCCCCTACCCACAAGATCTTGCCAAGCCTACTCTATTTCGAAACAATTCATTCTTTATTTGGTCCAGTATATATTTTCCGAAAATAAGAGTGTATAACAGTATATCAAGCATATCATGTCCACCATATCCAGAGAGGGGGGGGGGGCAAAAGGAATGTTAAGAGCTGACTTGGGCAGCAGATGGAGTATCAGCAATGAGGTATATGTTATTAATTATAAAAGAAAATGGCTTTTTTATCATTTAAAATATCTAGGTATTCTTCTTCTTTTTTTCAATTATCAAAAGAAGCCGAAATTATCACAGGCTCTCTTTGCACAGCTTCTCGGCGGTCCAATGCTGTTTCAAGCTACTATTAAATCAGGAATGGCTACAGCCTCCTCCTGGTGAAAGAAGTGAGGTGGGCTAGACATAAAGTTGAGGGCACTGCATTGTACGTCTTGTGGACACGCACACTGTAGTATTGGGGAATTGAACCAGTATTAATAGTAAACACTTTTCGTTGAGTGCTTGGGAAGGGGGAGGCTAATGCATGTTTTATTGGGGGGGGGGCTTTATCCCTATCAAATCACCTCTCTTACCGTCGCCCCTGCATTAAGCCCATCCCTCTTCTGATTGGAGATACTTCTCTGATTTTCAGTTGCATATTATGACTACTCCACGCCACCCCCTGTGGGCACGCCCCTGAATTGCCGACGACGCTTTTGTTCAATACCAGAGCTCATCAGACCGGTTGGGACATAACAAATACGGTAGTGGTCGGAACGCTATTTATATAAGTCATCGTCAATGGCGGAAATGGTATGGTTGAGATACTATTATACACTCTTCTTCTCATAAAACCCCCAAGGTAAAGAATGTAGTATTTAAAAATACAATAAGCCTAATATTATTGTCTTATGACGAATATAGTTTATTGTAATCACGCTTCACGCCAAAGCAAATCTCATTCTAACAAAAAAGACTGAAGTTATATTTTAAGAATATGCACCTTAATTTAAATTACAAAGTATTATGCCACGGCAGTTGTTTGATTAAACATTGAAACGTACTCGGAATATTAGAGGTATTTATTACTAATCTTAATCCATGTTGTTGTTATTGACAAATTTTTAGTGCACTAGCTAAAACTATGATAAATCATAACTTATTCTTCCATTTGTCTAATACCAACTTGTTCAAAGCTGTTTTCATTTTACAAGGTTTAAATGTCATATAGATGTAGATTTTACTCTCTACAACAAAAATAAAATTATATCTTTTCTTATGTTCAGTGTAAATTGTATCTCATATAACGAGCTATAATTTAGGTATATCTCGTCGGTTCCATTTGTGAAGAAAATGCCCTCTTAAGATTTCAACTTAAACTAAAACTAGCCACGTCAGGTATTCGAGAAAATTTAGCGAATTATAATTTGTATTTAGGCGACCAGAGTTAGAATAAGCGTCACGTGCTACACGTATTTGTTATAAGACATTTGTGGTAGTTTTTGAAAATATTTAATTTGCCATATAATTATAAAGTATGTCATCAACAGAAGAGAATTTAGAACTAAAAGCTGGTCACCCTCCAGCAGGTATGTATATATATATATTTTCTAAAATAATTTTAAAATATTTAAATTCATTTTGAATCTTCATGAGCAGTGTTACTTTTTTAATGTTGTTAGCGTGAGTTTTGATTATAATGTTAATAATACTGACGTTACTGGCACATAGCAATTGCGTGATTGTAGAATAGTAGTTCTATTTAATATTAATGTAGTTAATATGGTAAAAAAATGATCGTGTACCAGTACTACCTTACCAGAAATGGCACTTGCAAGGCTAATGTATTATAACTTAACTATGTTAAGTACAACACTAATTTGACATTCAGAGTCGTTTTATAATTATATTTAAAGTTTAGTGTTTTAAGTGTTTAGGCCCATATGTTACAATCGGAGAACAAGACCAAAAAGAAGAAAGTAATTTCACAGAAAATTATGTTAATTAAATGAGTGTTATTCCCATTGCCCTGGTAAATTTTCACACACACAGTGTTACTGTTACAATGTTGTTGAAAGTAAAATTTATTTTTCACCCCCCCCCCCCAAAAAAGACCACTGTAGCATTATATCATAAATATTGCCTATTATTGACATAATCTAATAATGTGTAGAGTCTACATTTCACTGAAAGTTTCAGTCTTGCATGAACTTGTATCATTGAGATACATCACTAGTTCTTGGTTGATCCAATCGTCAGTAAATACATCTATGAACGTAAGAAAAGACAAAGTGACAGAAGGCTATTTAGCTGATAAAAATTACCCCCTCATAAAAACAAAGCAAGTAATAATAAAAGAAGTAATTGAGAGTTTAAATGAGACCATCATAGTCCTTCATACCCATATACCTATACAACAAAATATTAAAATAATTTGAACTCTCTTCACAAACTACATCATGAAAAGCAGTTCACAGATATATAACTAATCAAAAACATTTTGTGGAAAAACAAGCCTATATTTAGGCTTCCAATATTCGTGTTAGTATTCCTAACCTATTTTTTTCACTCCTCCACTTAAACAGCCAGCCCACAGGAAATCTTTTTTAACCTCCTAACAATTATGAATGCTTAAATTCTCCCATAATTTTTCTGTGCTTCATAGAAACCAAATCCAAAACTTTAAGCTTCTCCTTACAGTATAAATGACTTGCATCATTAGAAAATCCATATCACTAGTTTATAAATACTAAGAGGAAAATAATTTTGTTTGAAGAATAAATTTGGATCTGGGCTTTCAAAGCAAACACTCGGTACCTTGATATCCAGCTTTGATTCTCCAACCATTTTATTCTGTTTCTCAAACATACAATACACAGTTGAATTATCCAAGTCCTTGACAACTTGGAATGACTGAAATAAGTCTCTTCTGACTCTTTACACCCTAGAGAAAAGAAATATGAAGCCTCTTTTCTTGGTTCAGTAACTCAAAACAAGGATCTCTCTATCTAGTATATGGTCTGTAAAACCTTTATAGTATGTTGATACTTTGTAAGGTGATAAAAATTGCACCATTGTCAGACTTGACCTTACTATGGTATTAATTAAACAAAATAACAATAACCTTCTTACTCTTAAATTCAAAGTTCTTACAGGTAAAATTCAGACTGTCTGCTTATCCTACTGCAACTAAACACTGAGCTGAAGTCTTCAAATTTTTTTCAACAGTAACACACACATCCTCTACTGTTTTTACCCACAACCTCAATACACCTCTCACTCAAGAAGCAAAGCTTTAAAATTTCCTTACCTTTGCTTTTCTCTATTAAGACATTGAAATTCCCTTCCATATCCTGGCTTAGTCACTAAAACTAATTTCTTCCAAATAAGAAAAACTATCAGCCCTTCCCAGAATCTTGGTATTATCAGCAAATTTTATAGCTATCCAAGTCATTGATATGAAAAGTAAAATGTTCCCAAACACAACTCTGAGTAATGTCATTAGTTCCTTTCTTTCAATTGAGAAAATAAAAAAAATATTCCTTGTTGATTCAATTTTTTATCAGTAAATTTGATACCTCTTTGAGGCACACCTGATCTTTATATTATAGATATTTAATTTTTATGTATAAAATTGGCATTAAGCTTTTATTTATGTTTGGTGATTAATTTTAAAACTGGTATTACAATTCTAATTATTTTATTCAGACAGGACTACTAGTAAGGGAGCAGTTGTGTTGTTTTTTTTTCTGTTTATCTTAAACATTTTTATATAAAACTTCTATTCATAATGACTTTTGTAGTAGTTTTAGTGAAAAAAAAGACAGTAAACAAGGATAGAATCTGTTTTGGTTTTATCAGATTTGTAAACATATAACCCACAAATTTCAAAAGTAGCTAAACAATGTCAGTAACAAGTATTTTTTCACAACAGTGGTATTGCTGTTTAAAACCTAACTTTTTATAAGTGTTAAACAAAGCCATACTCTTCTTGTGTGTACTTTGAAATAGTTGATTGTTGTAGAAAGCAAAATTATAGGCAGTAAATTCCTTAACACTGAAAATTGTTATTGAATTCTTCTGCTTCTGGTTATAAAGGTTGTTTCTGATTAAAATTGTAGACTTTAATTTTTCCTTTCTCAAGATGATCACAAGTAGTAAAACTGATAAAAAAAAAATTGTAAAAAGGTCAGTAAAATCATAAGGATCAATAGGAAAGTTGGTAAATCATACTTTTAGGTTTTTGAGAAAATAAGTTTAATTCAGTTCTCTTAAACTATTGAATACTTTTAAATTTTGACAGTATAAATGTATCAATTCATGCATTGTTATTTGTTGAGAAATTAACATCAGTTTATCTTTTTGAAATACTATGTGTGTATTCCAATTTTATTTACACAAAATTATGAAGCTCTAACGCTGACTTGAGTGAGATTACATATTTTTATGTACATTTCTTTGGAAAATGGGAAAAGTACTGGTAATATTATTTAGCTTTCAAAATGGGACTCACAAAGGAACCCTAAGAAAGGTTGTATTAATCTCATTTCATGATGATGAGGAACTCATTTGAAGTAACTATATATAGTAGAGATGGCTGATATGGTTATATAAAAACATTTATTTAAAAACACAAAACAAGTAACAACCTTTCGACTTCCTTAGGTCATCATCAGGTTCCATGTAGTCTCTATCTTCACTGAATTTCCCACCAGAAAAGCCTGTAACATAGCTTTAGAACTTTACATCAGACCCCAACCCACTTATACACATTCCCAATAACCAACTAGCAAGTTTTTTAGAATTTACTACGAAAACTAATTTTATGTTCAACAACCAAAACTACATACAAATAAAGGGTTTACTTATGGGCAGTCCGGTGTCACCAATCCAGGCCGACATTTTTATGACACAGTTTGAATCTCAAGCCATCAGTTCAGGTTTACACCCACAACTGTATTGATATAGATATGCTGATGATATATTTGCCGGATTCATATCTATATAACATGCATGTAGCTTTTACAACCACATTAACTTCGTACACGCAAATATTAAGTTCACCAGTGAATACAAAAAGATAAACAACTAACTTTTGTAAATATCAATATCACAAGAACAGATACACAGTTTAAAACAAAAATCCACAGAAAAATCACTCGTACTGGACTGTACATTCCCTGGAACTCGGCACATGAATCAAAAAACAAAAACTCAACATTCTAGAAAAGCTAATAAACACAGTCACAAAACGTTGCTCACCTGACAACCTTAATGATGAATTCAATCAATTAAAACAAGACTTCATCAATATGAAGAAATTTCCTACAAAAACTGTCCAAAGAATTATTCACAGAAACCTCAATGGACAGCCAACCAATGAACCAAAAGTCAGTGAAACAACTAACAACAAAACACTACACTGCTGCATACCTTATGTTCCAGATATCAGCTACAAAGTAACTAACATTTGGAAAAAACTCGTAACCAAACATAAGATTCCAGTAAACTCTAAGCTCATTCAAAAACCAGGTACCAAATTAAAATCTCTACTATGTAAAAATTACTCTGACAAACATAATACTAACATCATTTATGAAATACAATGCAACAACTGCCATGATTTATATATTTGAGAAATAAGCCGAAAAATGAAAATTAGATTCAATGAATACAAAAAAATCACCATCACAGGTTTTTCAAAATTGTATCTCAACTAAACATAATATAACCATAGAAAACATTAACAAATGAAAAATTAAAGAAGCTATTTTGATACAAGAACTTAAACACAAATTGAACCAGAACCAACAAACACTTTTATATCTATACTAATTATTCCTTAATGTTAACTACCATAAATTATAGATTAAATATACACTCTTACACCTATCATTACTGTCATCTCCACAACACGTGATCAGTAATGTTCACTTTTTCAAATCTCATTCTTAATCTGAAGATAACCTAAGGAGGTTGAAACATTGTTATTTATTTTGAACCTTTAAAAGTGTTAAATACCCATATCAGCAATCTCTACTATATATATATATGTTCACTGTGACATTACCAGAAAGGAGTGTATGCTCTTATGCTGTGTGGATAATTTTGCTGACTGCAAAGATTGCAGCATTATGACATGTTCAGGTTCTATTTTGTTGTAAAAATAAGCCTTCATTAAGTGGCAGATATTGTACTGGTCAATTGGTGAGAATTATCTGTATGGAGCTTCAGGGTATTAGCATGAGCTGAAGGCTCAAGTTTCTTAACATATTGTCTTGATAATGTGTATATACTTAAAGTAGTTGTAAAATAATAACCTAAGAAGCACATGATATGTGTTGTTGATCACCATAAATGTTAAATACAAAGTGATAAAGAGAGTACTTTGCATTATTTTACTGTTCAATCTGTCAAAGATTAAGAACTTCAAATTGGGTATTTTTGTTCAATAAAGTGTATAGACTGCTAAATCTATTTTCATTAATTTTGCCTTAATATTACAAAACTTTGACATTTTTTCATGGGCTATACACAGGGTAGTGGTTCAGATGTTGTTTAGAAGGATTTTTTTATAAAATTAGAAATGGCATTAAGAGCCCTAGACATCTATTGTGTGTATTTCAAGTGAAAGTAGGTGGAATGCGTATCACTCAGCACAAACCCCCAACTCATGAAAAGCCCGTAGAACCTCCAAAGAAGGAAGAAGATGAGGAGGAAGAAGAGGCTCCAGTAAGCAAAAGGTAATTTTTTTTTCTAATACTAAAGTATGCCAAATTGAAGCAGGTGGTCCAAAGTTCTAGTTTTATCACAAATGATGTACAATTAATCTAAGGCATTTGAGTTCACATATATCCAGAGCCTTACTTTTGATAGTTTGCTAGCATTGTGCACACAAGTATTGAAACTTGAAATTGCACAAATTTAACTAGAGATAATTGATCTATTCAAAAGACTCTGTAAAGTTTAAATCAGTTAAACATTCCTGCTTAAACATTATTATTTATGTAGCTTTGTGCCACAATTAAATCAAGGATCTATAAAGACTTACTCTGAAAACAAAATATAGAATATTTCACATAATTTGACTTACAACATTTTAGTAGGGTCTTATATTGGCCACAATAAAAAAAATGGCCAACAAATTATGATGCAATTCAGTAAAAATGTGCACCTTTTCTGTGTTTATTCTTATGCAGAAATCGTTTTTTTTTTCACGTAATACATAGATTTTGTAAATTGATAGATATCTAGATAAATCTGTCACCCCAGACAATGCTGACAATGTAGTGTACCAATATTAATGTGTATATATATATATATA